CCTCATTTCTCTCTATCCCATTTTAGAGTTACAGTAGTAAAAAAATTCTTGTAACGTATTATTTTGTTGTGTTAATATTGTTATGTTTCTATCTTAAAATTTAAAGATCATACAAATTTAATGTGAGTTCATTTTTACCTTTCTTAAACTGTAGTTAATTAATAACCATCTTAAATAATTACAATTAATCTCAACTCAAGGTCCATTTGTAGCTTTCTTTGGAGCTTTTAACCGCATCTCATAGCATTCATCAGCAAATAGAATTTACTCTATTAAATATATGTCATGTCTGATATTCTATTATAGCCTCTATAACATATTTTATTATTTTATTTATTTTTCAGATTATATTTTATATTATTCACCAGTGAAGGCCATAAAATAAGACTGAAACATCTGGAAAAAATCTAGTAAGGGCCCTTGAGTTGAGATTAATTCACCAGTATTTTACGTCATTTCACTCAAATTCCAACAATATCTCTCTATCACACATAACTATTATCAGATAATTAGATTTGTAGCTTACTGTTTTACATCCGCATAACTTGTAAAGAACTGAACTTGAGTTCTAACCCTCATGCACACTGTATTCGTCCTGAACGCAGCTCAGTTAAATATGATTACGTCATTGTCAAAGAACACGTGTGACATGGCGCATGGGTTTTTCTCAGTGCAGCACGTTTTCTTGAATATTGATGCGGTCCTAACGAACGCATCCACCGGCATCACAACACGAACAGCTTGTGGCGCCGGGGCTCTGTGAGAGTCACAGTCTGCCACTGTGGCGATGTCAACACGGTCTAAATGATTTTAAATCCATTATTTAACACGACCTCCATCAATCCACTGCGCTCACAGCGTGGTGGCTGCTGTACTACAGTTAGTAAACGAACCCGCTACACGGAAACCCCGGCTGCATGGATCTCTGTACGGAACCGGATTCATGCAGCAGTAAATATAACAGAATCATGGTTGGTTTATTTAAAGAGCTTACAGGTTTAAAACAATTCAATAAAATATACGTCATAATATAATGTATGTAAATTGTGTATATATTTATAATGAACTTTTTTGCTGGATTCAAGTAGTCAGTAGTTGTGGGGTGGGTGTGCTACTAGATAGATGGGTAGGTTACCAAGGAGGAAGTGGGTACACTCTCCTATTTATTCCAGTGGCATTTTGGCTGATAGGTGGATATACTGTAAACAGCTAGAAGACGAGATGGGTAAACGCTGTATACCTGCATATACCCTCCACTACTACACCACTGTCTACAGGACAGGATGAAATATTCAGAAATTATTTGACAAATAAAAGTCAATCAAGGTCCACTTACTGGCCTTTTTCAAATACATGAACCAGTGTCCGTATACAGTGCACTCAGCTATAAGCCAAAAAGCCATCAGAATATACAGGAGAGTATACCCACTTCCTTCTCGCTAACCTACCTATCTACCTAGTAGTGCACCCATCTTGTCAACTACCCCCACATCACTTACATGAACTCACTGAGAGCTCAGATCAAGGGAGGATCCCTGAACTACTGGAGAGAGATCTGGGGTACTTTCATTTTTAAAATAGTGTGCATCATTTTGCTGCAGTTTGCATGTTGAATAACTTATTTCTTGTAAATGGTGTGAAACAGTGTGCAACGGTCTTTGAGGTGCGTTTTCTCTTTTTTGGTTGGTGTGTCAGAGGTGTTACCCAATCAGCAGCGACATGTATATAAACCAGATTCCAATGGCTCTTTACTTATTGTAAATCCTTTATTTGTGTTTTTATAACACTTGCTTTGGTAGTGTAAACGTATATTTCCCAGGTCAATATCGTCCCTTTGAATTGAACTGAATTAAACCACGCTGTATTAAAAGGCAGTGCGCTTGTGTAACACAACAGGATTCTCAACTCATTCTTACCTGCCCCCCTGGTATCATATTATATTGCAAAAGTGCCTCTCATGCAAAGATAGTTGAGTGTTCCTGGTGTAAGATGTAGCTGGAAGCTTTGAAAAAAGCTAGTAATTGGACGTTCATGTGGGTCATCATTTCTTGTGTGATTAATTCACACGTGGTCTTTGAACATTTTGCATCTGATACATACAGGCTACATGATATAGACATTAAAGTGGTATTTCACCTGTCACATGACTTCATACTGATATGTTGATTGATATACTGATATGTTGGTATGTGATATCACACGTCATATTTATATACTAGATCTGATATAATTTCTCTATCTCTCTCACTTTTGGGAACTGAATGGACATATCTTAAACCTCTACCAAATATACAGAAGGTTACCACATATAGCTGAGATCCCAGTTCAGTTATCCATGCAGCTGTCATCACTCCTTGCATCGTGTGGCCCCATAACATGAGGGTAGATGATATTGACACTGGCTTTTTCATTGCAGCTCACAAAATGTCAGAGGCTGCGGATCAGCAGTATACTTTTCCCATGGCTTGTGATTTGAATAACCCAAGGCTTTGCTGCAGAAAATAGAGATGGATGATCAAACAAAACGAACAACTACCAAAAAGTGTCTGATCCACAGTGAGCCTCCAGAACAGCCTCAATAGTTCTTGTCATAGATTCTCCAAGTGTGTTGAGTCCACTCTTTCAAAGTGACCAGTATTTTTCCATAGGCTGTTTAACACATCAATCTAAAATGTCCCATAGGTGCTCAGCTGGGTAGAGATGGTGGCTGCGAAGGCACACATCATTTTCATACTCATAAAACCATGTGACCTGTATGGAAGACTCTTTATTTGTTATGTTTCTCCACTCATTTATTCAGGTTTCTCCTTTAATTTGTCAGGTTTTTCCTCAAATAAAGTTTTTGCAGCGTATTTATATAACCTGCAGTTCTGAAAGTGTATTTGAAGAGTCCTTGTAAGGGGGCCTTGTCAGCTTCCAGGGGTTCAGTACATTAGTATCAGCAAGCAAAGAATAACACCATAGCACTATTCAAAGAAAACAAAACAATTTCCATACGGGCCCCCTGTGAAAAAAAATCTGAACAATTGGAAGCTTTCATTAACCTTGAGAAGGTTGTGCATGTATTTCATTGAATAAAACTAAGTCTGGTTTCAAACATTTAATTCAAATGTCTTCATAAATAAATTTCCATTCCAGCATGGCCTTTCCAGTGCACTTAATTTATTTTTTTCTTCATTGAAACAAAAACAGAAAACCCAAATGTATTAAATTACAACAGAAATGAAACATAACAGTGCAGGGACACTTAAAAACACACTTCAAACATACACTTTCTTAAAATTGCTCTAATGAATATTATCAAAACATATCAAAACATCTGTTTGGAAACTCTCACACAACTTGTTCAGGATAATAAAGTCTCATTTATCTCAGTAATTTCCAAACACATGCATTTTTGCTAAAACCCTATTATTTAAAACTTAATTGAAAATGAAGCTTATCGCTACTCTTGAAAAGAAGGCTATTATGATTGGATAAATTGAGTTGATTGCGTTCCAGTACAAGTCAGAAAACCAAGATGTTGTAAGCAATACCAGTTCTAGCCAGATCAGCTATAGTTAATAATATCACTTGATAACGACTCATTATGTTGTATTTTGCTTTGCATACCCAAACACTGTAGCAGTATGTCTACAGACAGAAGTTGGACAACTGTTTTAATAAGACACATATAAGACAAGGGTTAATAGACAGCTTTTACTACTGTAGACGTGCAGAGCAGCCATCTTGGATCCTCAGATCGGGGTTGGTGAGGTTCCTCTCACTTTTCAAGTCAGAAATCCAACTGCAGACCGGGGACTTGTAAGTTTCAACTTCCTAGTGCAAATGGAATGCACCAGGAGACTTAGATTATAGAGTGCTCCAGGGATACGTTTTTCTGTAGGCAGATGAGGAAGTTAGCGTTGCCATGGTTCCCTTGTCAGAAAGCCTAAAGGATTTTGGATTTTGGATCATTGCAGAAAATAAGCTCTGTGGCAAACATATGTTTATTATATTTACAGGTTTTGTTCAGCAAGATAATCTTCAGAAATGACCACCATTTTTATGATTTTTGGAGCATAAATGCAACTGCCAGAAGTAAAAAGTTAACATTAGGATATAAACAAACTACACTACAGTCACATGATTTAACAACCCTACACAACGAGACTGTTCAGCCATGTGCCACATGATGACGTTCTGTAGTCTCATTTAGCCACTTGTTAGCACAACCTATTTTAAGACACATAAAACCTTCAAAATCAGCACATCATAGAAGAAAATGTGAAAGATTCTCAAGCATGTGTTAACCACAGACCTTATTTGAGGCATATACCCAAAAAAAAACTTTCAAAAACATATTGACTTCAAGACAAGGAAACCAGGGGCGCTAAAGTGCTACCTCATTTTTGTGTTTTAGGACTCTCCTGGGGCACTCTATACTGCAAGAGTTGTTAAACAGATGTTAGGTTGATCATTTTGCTGTTGTTAGAGGCGGACCCCTATGACTGAAGAATTTTCTCTGTTTTTGGATTATTCGTTCACTAAAAGCATGTGACAAAAACAAAAAATTCTTCACAAATTCACCCCAACATGGTGTGAGTATCTGATCTACAAATGGTCATTAAAGGGATGAAGTGTTCCTTTAAGGAAAATTTTTAAAAGGCCTACAAAAAACAGTCTGCAATTTATCTTGGATTTAATTATTATTGAATTATAAATTTGGAGCTTTGCAAGAAGATGTATACATAAGTTTAGTGGTACCATCTATTAGAGACTTTTTAATATAATAATCCCAAAACAAGACATCAGGTTCATTAAATTCAGTTAGTTTAGAGAAAACAGGCAAGTTGAGAAATGTCTTTATAGAAGTGGACAGGGTCATTTACAGAACAGAAGGACCAAATGGTCTTGTGTACATCCTTGAAATCACTGCACCGCTTTTTACATCTCTCCATCCATCTGCGTGTCAGCCTGCAGTGCAACCGACCTCTATTTTCTACGGCTATTTTTATTATTGTTGTCATTGGTAAACACCACACATCTGCCTACCCAGAACGTCTTCCCATTGGTTTACCGGGTTGTCTGTCGCAGTACTTCCGTCCGTTTGGCCGGTTTTGATTGGCCGATTTTCCTCTTTTTTTTCCTCTTCTTCGCGGCGGTGGGTCGGAGCCGCTGTGTCCCCGGTCTGGCACGTTCCTAGCCAAATTCTCCACGGTGTAAAATTGGATTCCCCCTTTTTCACAAAAACAAAAAATAACCCCCTTTCAATTCCCTGTAACCGCTTATACGTTTCCGCTCAACACACACCTCCAAATCTCCACCAGATACCTCTGAAGATGGCGGTGGTAAGCGGGATGTCGGGGTCGGCTGTAGCCCGGCTGGAGGGCCGAGAATTCGAGTATCTGATGAAGAAAAGGTCGGTGACTATCGGCCGGAACTCCTCGCAGGGTTCGGTGGACGTAAGCATGGGACACTCCAGCTTCATCTCCCGGCGGCACCTCGAGATATTCACCGCGGGAGAAGATGGCACCGGCACGGGGGAATTCTATCTCCGATGCCTCGGAAAAAACGGGGTGTTTGTTGATGGGGTGTTCCAGAGAAGAGGGGCGCCACCTCTTCAGCTCCCACGAATGTAAGATTAATACGACTAGTTTGTTTTTACTTGTAAAATCTGCGGACTTGTGCGTTCATGTGTTGTTATTGTTTTGTTGTCCCGCAGCAATGTTGCACGTGTTGTGTCAAGTAACACCAATGATACGTGCTGCGCGTTTGTTTGGTGATAACGTCACGCCAGATCTCCATACCAAATATGCCGGCGTAATGGTGCTGTTGCCTAATTGACAAACACAAAAACACATTAAACTTGAGTCATGACCTAATGTTAACCCTTATGGTATCTGGTTTATTCGATGCACATATAGTCCACCATGCAGACGTCAGTGAGACGTCAGACAGTCATGCTTCATCTTTAGTGCACTGTGTCTAGTGAGTTACTCACCTCCTTGCAGTAATGTGAAGTGGAAGCTGGCTTTCACGTAAAATTGGAAGTTAGTTGTATTTATTTTAATCTACCAGGTGTTTCATGCATGCCGAATTGCAGAGTGACCCCTAAACGTTCAGCATTGTCTTTAATACATGACCCCCAAGTCTGTGTTTACTGATAGCATAGTAAGAAACATTAAAATGTCCGAATTGTAATGGAATTAGTTTTATGTTGTCCACAAAACTAGACAACTTCTTGTATTTTTGGCTAACACTCAACTGCTGCTGTCCCACCCAACATGCTAGCAACACAAGCAAATATTTGAACTTGTGCTTGCATAGGTAATGTATTTGACCTGCTGCAACACAGACTGCAGCACTTTTTTACTTACAAAAAGAAGATGGTGTTAAATTATTGTTATACACTGGGTGCAACACATTTGTACATGTTACAATGGCAACTACGAAGCTGAAGTTAGTTAATCTGATCTGGTGCAATGTCCCCCATCTTTCAAAACTCACCTTTAATTGTTGTTGTGGTAATTCACATTTTACATTTCATAAATATTTTGGTAGGATATGTCAGTTTTGTCAACATGCCATAATAGTAATTCATTGGGAGGTGTCAGCAACTGGTCCAAATATACCCTGTTAATAATAAATGGGACGTGTTAGACATGATCTGTTACATAATGGGCATCGTGGATGTCCATATTTAAACTGCAAGGCTGATCCCAATGCACCTCACTTGGCCTCAGTAAGACCTCCTTGACCTGCTTGTTGTCAGGCAGGAGGCTTGTTTACTGGTAATAAGCATTGTGTGTCCCGCTTATTTTATTGGTATTCAATGTTAGACAAATGTACAAACAAATTAAACTGGAAATGTATCAACCTAAAACACACATTTTAAAGTTTTTTGTTTGGGTTTGTCTCTTGTTCCCAGGTGTTGTTTCCGGTTCCCCAGCACAAGTATAAAGATCACGTTCACAGCCCTGTCCAATGACAAGAAGGAGCCAAGGAACGTGCCGGAATCACCGGTCAAGCCCGTCCAACCCCAAATTTCCCCACTGACCATCAACATTCCAGACAACATCGCCCACCTCATGAGCCCACTGCCTTCACCCACTGGCACCATCAGGTGAGGGGGAGTTTAAATTTTGTGCAGTAGTCAAAATAGCATATTGAAGTATAAAATGATAATATCGTCTAAATCTTGTCATTGATGTGGTTTTCTTCTCAGTGTTTTCAGACGTGAATTCAAAATGACAGTAATTTTTAAATCAAATTTCGCAGTGCGGCAAACTCTTGTCCATCAAGTCCGCGGGGGGCGGGACTCTCCAGCTACAGGACAAGCCGTGTTCTGGCCTCCGACCTAATAGGAGACAACTCTCAATCTGAAAACGATAAAGAGGCCTCAGGTGAAGACAGCCCAAAGGTGAGAGTGAGGCAGTCCAGAGCTTCATTATTGAATGTATTTTAAGAGGATATTTCAAACGAGAGGGAGTGCATTACAAAGGCAGCAGACTTCAGAGAATCTCAGTGGATTCCTGTTGGCATGTGAGCACTGTGAACATCCCTGGTTACTCATTGAAGTCTAAAAATTGCCCAACATTCACAACAACATAGACTTTGGAGTACAGAACCTGGCTGAACTTTACTGAGTCTGTGTGTGTTTATGCATGTACTGTGTGCACTTGTGATGAGAAAACATGACCTGAGCTTACCCTGTGTTTCATTAACACATATTTCCTCCCAGTAGCACATGAATTAAACTTTGTTTTCTTTTCCACTTCCAGGATGACTCCAAACCTCCGTATTCATATGCACAATTAATAGTCCAAGCTATCACCATGGCCCCAGATAAGCAGCTCACCCTGAATGGAATATACACCCACATCACCAAGAACTACCCCTACTACAGAACAGCTGATAAAGGCTGGCAGGTCAGAGTCTTCACTTTGTGGTACAATTGCTTATACTTGCAGTGTGTCTGTGGTTGTACAGTAATGCATACACCGTTCAGTTACTCCCTGAGTCAGGACAGTAGGATTAGTTGTCTCAGCATCATATATCATTGTAAATGTAAACATTGTATATGCAAAAGCTGAGGCACTTTTCAAACGTGGTGATTTGCTGCTTTGCTCTGTTTTTTAACCAGTGTAAACTGATTACCACCAGGTTTTGGGTGATTTTAAAGATGTCACTGCGGGCTTCAAGAAATTGAGACTTTTTGTCGGTCTTGTTAATTAATTATGGTTTAGCTGTAAAATGCCTAGTCTGGCTTACCATGACATTCTTAACCTAACCATAAAGGCCCTGACACACCAAGCAGACGGTGGGCCATTGATCAATGTTGGGTCGTTGGTGAGCGTCTGCCAGTGCGGTGTGTCTCATACTGTTCCCCCTCGTCGGTCCCTGTTGGCTTTCTTTCAGCACATTCGGCATGTTGAATTGTTGAGATGTTGAGTCGGAGATGTCGGAGCCCATTGGAGAATTAAATCACTCTGATAGTCAGTTCAGCTCAGTGCACAAGAAGAGAAAGCGAGTGTGGAAATTAAACAAACTGCTAAAGTCAAGAGGGAGTGAGATCAAAACAAACTTGTTACATAAGGTTAGTTTATTTTTCTTTAGCCACTGAGTTCTTAAGCAGAAACGTTTCCTAATGTGCTAACTGGCTAACTAGCATCAAGACAGTCTTCTGATGTCCCTTTTTGAATGAAGATTACAGACTAGCGCCGTCTGCTGGTGTGGAGAGTTATTTCCTCTCACACAGGCGCAGAATGTACATGCTGGTGTTCATGTGCAACTTTTTGACTGAGACATAGGTGATGTGGGGCAAAGCAACAGTTGAGTTTTGTTGCTGCTAGTTCTCTTAAGTCTGTTTTGTATGTGTGGGCCTTGACCAGTTCCACTCCTTTTGCCTGAACCTAACCAGTCCATCCAACAAAGGCAATGAGTACTAGCCAATCAGAAGGAGAGTAGAGCAGAAATGCCTCTCCTATTCTAGGAATTGCAAATTTGCTTCCTGTACATGGGAGTAGATATAGCATTTGACATCTTGTGTTTCAATCAATATTGTAACCCTAACATGCTGACAGGAAAATAGTATCCAAATAGTTAGAGGTTTTTGAGCCATGACATCCAAACCAGAAATTGTTACAGTTGCCCCTGGTCTCCCCTAATCCAGTCGCAGAGACAAAATGGCTCAAATCCTGAAGAAAAGCGGATGAGAAAGAGGTGGTACTTTACACATAAAGATGTTGTGTTGTGTCGGTGCAACTAGGGTTGCAAAAGTATGAGATTTTCACGGCGTGTTAATCATCTAAAAAAAATATAGTCGTTTCACAGTATTACAGAATTTATATTATTATTATCAGTCAGAATGAGCCTTTGTTGGTTGAACAAATGTTTTATTACTATAATTGACAGTTGAAACCAACGTCCAGTTGCATTTTTTTTTCCCCAATATCATAGATAAGCAAATGTACAAGGTATAATAACTAAACTTTTACATCACAGTATACCTTGAAACCGGTACATCGCTGCAACCCTAGACACAACACAAGACAAAACCAAGCTAAATGTAGACACTCTTAGAAAACAGCAGCGTGTATGGCAGCCTCTACAGAAGCATTCAGTAAGGTGTGTGTGTGTGTGTGTGTGTGCGTGCATGCGTGCGTGCGTGCGTGCGAGGAGAGGAGAGGAGAGAGAGTGACGTGTGTCTGCACTCAGGACAGGCAGGTGAGCTGGACGTCAGTTTAGCAATAAATCATGAATGTGACAGTAAATATTTTGTGTGAGCTGCAGCTTGTCAGAACTACCAGACCACTGAAGCTATTTTAGTGGCACTTAGAGAAATTGTCTGACATGATTAGCATAATCGTATCGGCTCTTCTGATCAACCTTTAAACTACTTAGAATGAGAATCAGCTGATAACGATCGGTGGCTGGTTGATCAGACTCAAAGCACCCTTATCTGGAGGTGTTTAATTTGAAATCTTTGCTTGTCCCCAACTCTGGCTGCTTTAAATAGAGACAGCAGGTTAATTGTGTAAGGGGAGATTTTTATATAGCAGCAGTGGAGCTAATCATTTAGCAGTGGCGCAGTTGCTTAGCTGTGACCCCAGTAATAAACATATAATTGAACACATTTCCAACAATATCAAACAAACTGAATTTTATAAACTTAGCAAAGGTACCAGTAAGTGGAAGGATTTTTCTTCTCTTACATGAAGCAGAGAACAATGAAAAACATTGTGCTCGCATCTCTGCAGAATGTATTATGTACACATACTTTCTTTAAATAACAAGACAATGTAGTAAGACTCTCGTAGTCCCACTGCTTCTTTCACTAAACCAAAAAGACCTTGTGCAACAACATGGGAATATTCACTACATTACACACAACACTCCCATCAGTTCAAAGAAATGTGTGTTTTCTTTATTGGTGTTTTAGAACTCAATCCGCCACAACCTGTCCCTGAATCGGTACTTCATCAAAGTGGCCCGCTCTCAGGAGGAGCCAGGCAAAGGCTCCTTTTGGAGGATCGACCCCGCCTCTGAGGGCAAGCTGATAGAACAAGCCTTCAGGAAGCGCAGGCCGAGGGGAGTGCCCTGCTTTAGGACCCCAGTGGGACCTCTCTCCTCCAGGTAAAGAACACTGTCATGTAGACATGAGTGTAGTACTTTAACTCCGCCTGAGTTTGTACAGCTGCAGTATGTTGTGTCAATATCCACCTTATTTCTTCTCCTGTTCTAGGAGCGCTCCAGCTTCTCCCAGCCACACAGGGGCACTGTCTGCCCACTCCAGTGGGGTCCAAACCCCAGACAGCCTGTCCAGAGAGGGGTCCCCTGTCCCCATGGAGCCAGAGCCAACCCCACCACCAGCCCCCACCCAAACCACTACAGTCCAGCCCAAACTCGCTGTCATCCAAGAGGCCCGCTTTGCACAGAACTCCCCTGGTAAAACATAACATTCCACAAGGTTTTGTCCTCGGTGTCCCCTCATTCATTCTGATGGTGTTCAGTATTTATGTATGCCTCAGTAGTGAATGGCAGTACATTAAAGAGTTTGTCAGTAACTTGTAGCCCTGCCCTCTGATAGGCTCCCCCCTCAACAACCAGCCAGTACTGATCTCCGTGCAGCGCCAAATGCCTCAAACGACCATGAAGCCTGTGACCTACGCCATGGCGTCGCCAGCCATTGTAACAACGTCAGTTAGCTCCGCCCCTGTCATGCAGACGGTGCACGTCGTCCACCAGATCCCAGCAGTCACCATGGCAACTGTTGCCGGACAGCCGACTGCTACAGTGAGCCCAGAACCTCAGGAGAATGGAGGGGGAGAGCACCAAGAGATCAAACGTGAGACCTGATTTATGTCGTTGTCATTTTTAGCAGTTGTTCTGTGGACACAGATGTTGGAACAGGTGCAGCTGTGAAGTCAAAGTATTGAGTTTGATATCAGATTTTCTCCCCATGTGTAGTCAAAGTGGAGTCGGTCCCATCCATCACAGCCGCGTCTATAGGTGGAGTCAGCCGCATCATCCAGAGCTCTCAGGCTGCTCCTCTGACGACAGTAACCATTGTGCAACAAGCCCCGCTCGGTCAGCACCAGCTTCCAATAAAGGCCATCACACAGAACGGGACACATCTGGTCCCCATCAGCACTGCTGCTAGCACAGGTGACACACACACGCACACGCACACACACACACACACACACACACACACAGAAACTAAGACTCAAGCATGCCTCTGCATTTGCAGGTCTACAAAAAGCAGTGTGCAAAAAGAATTGCACAGGTGTCAGACCAAATCTCCCCTGAGGCCCTCTCCCCTTACAGCAGCCACCTGTCTCGCAGAGCACTTAAAGATGCCCTGTGGAGTTTCCTTATACACACATTTTATGTTTACTTCCAGTGTTTTTCACCAAAACACACTGGGTCTCATTCATGAAACGTGAGCAGAATGAATTTATCTTAAACCCACGTTACTAACCAAACACTAAGCCATTGGTGATGGCTGTCAGAATATACAGCGATTTAACACTTATTATAACATGTACATCACTGTACCTTCTGAGTTTGCTATTGACTGCTCCAGTGGAGGCATGTCGCTGTCTCCAGGTCTCTCCTCATCTGCAGCAAAGAGCTGTGACTGGGAAGAGCCTCCTCCTGTAGCTGTTGTGTTTTTGTGTGTGCACTTCTGCATTTTTTTGCATCAAGTTTCATATCGAACCATTTTCATTTAATTTTCTGAATGGTTCTTACAACAGAGGACACAGAGTTAAGGGCATCCGTTACCTCTTTCCAGGCCTTTGATTTACCTGTCCCTGTCACACCACTACTAACAGAATAAAATAAAATGTTTTTCTCAACCCCACTTCACCTAAAATAACTTCAGTCTTAGCATTTAAAAAGTTTTTATTTCTCTCTCTCTTTCTTTGTTTGCTCAGTGTTTGCAGTTCAACAGGATGCATCTGTCCATAGTAATTATCACCTCCATATATGATGGTCACTGGCTGTTCATGGGCGGGGATGCATGCTGATTGCTGACTAGCAAGAGTGCGCTGTTGATTGATGATTGATTGGCATTCATGACCATACGCGAGTGTCTACTATCCAATCCAAGTTTAGCAGGGGGGTTCATGAATCTGGTGTAGGTTTTTAGTACCAAGGTTTTTTGGGTGCAAATGTACTCACAGATTTACTAACATTTTATGAATGAGACCCACTATGTGTATCCTTTAGGGCGTATTCATATTTAATATTTGTAAAGTGAATTCTGTTTTTACATATCAAATTTACATGGTAACTGCGTTGATCCACGTTTACTCGCTATCATTAGAATAGCAGGAAAACGATTGGCAAGAGAGTGAACTGAGACTAAACACTGCGTCTTATTTACAAAGACAGTTTGCTCTGCTTTGCTGTTCCTCTCAGATGACGATGTGAAAGGAGCTCCTCTTGCACTGGAAGCTGCAGTGTATTGTATCCTGCCCTGTAGACTTACAGCCTGTTGGGTTGTGTACCCTGCAGTCTTATACTGAATTTACATGCTGCAGCAGCAGCTGGCACATACACAGCTTTAGGATCATTTATGTAATATGTATACTTGCTTTAGGATGTTTCAGCCTTGACCCATGTGAGAAGGTGAAGTCTTAAACAGAGCCATTATGTTTTCGGGTTGTCTGTTCCATTCTTGTGAATTTAATACCTCAGGAGTGCCTAGAGGGACTTTCTTTTAATTTGGCACGGACGTCCACTTGGATTCAATGATGAACTGATTAGTTTTTGGTGGTCCGAGGTTAAAGTCGCTGTGACCTCACAAAATATGCTTTTGGCCATTACTCAAGAATTCTTATACTAATTATGACAAAATTGGATGAAGTGATGATATTTTATATCCATAAGGTCAAAGGTCAACTGTGCTGTGACATCAAAAACACTTTTCTGGCCATTATTCAACACCATTACCCAGAAACGGAAGGCTACATATGACTCTGGATAGGCATGGATGTAAACTGTAGCTTCAACTTGACTTGTTTGCAGAGCCACACAAGGCGGTAATTCTAGTTTTCTACTTTGGCTACAAGCTGACGTCAGATCATGGTGGATTTCTTTAGATGGTCATCTGCTCCAGGCACGCTACTGCAAGTGTTTACTATACATACATTGTTGCTACATGTAGCAACATGCTAACGTGAGGGAAACATGTAATGTAGTTTGCCGATGTTGTTAAATTGTCCCTGATTTCGGATCGTATTCCTGCTGAAACATGTCCAGTTGTGTTTAAACGTTTTTATTTGTTATTCATCATGGTAGAAGGGGCCACTTTACTCTATTGCAATTATTTTCCTGGCTGCAAGTACACTGCTACATGTAGCTAAAGTCAGGGAAACATGTAATCTTGGCTGCCTGTTTTGTTAATTCATCATTGCTTTTGGGTCATATTCCTATTGGAACATGTCTGGTTGTTAAGATTTTGGATCTTTTCTTGTTATTTTTCACAGTAGAAATACCATCAGAGCATGTAAACATGTGCTAGCAGAACATGAAAATGAGCATAATAGGTCCCCTTTATCCAGTGTACAGTACATAGCATACAACACAAAAAAGGCAAAGTTGTAAAACAACAAAACAGAGTTAGTAAAGTAAGAGCATTATACTGTCACAGAACAGAGGACAAATCATTTCATAAACAGCTATAAGCTGTAAGACGAGACTTTAAACTTGCCTCTACCAGAGTGGTTGTAACTCCTAATTTTTAATAAATACTGTCTTCTCTCTGCCAGCTGCTGCAAATCCTCTTCACCTCCTGGCGGCCCACGCCTCAGCTTCAGCGTCCCTGCCTACCAAGAGGCAGAACGGAGAACTGCAAGACCAGCCCCAATCAAAGAGGGTGAAAACGGAAGAGGAAGAGGAAGGTGAAGCAGCAGCTGCCAACAACACCACCACCACCAATAACGGCACCACGGACAGAGCTGGAGAAGAAGGGGTCAGTGAACAGATCGGTGACAAGTAGCCTCCCTCCCCGGTCTGCATCCTGACCCCTGCTCTCCTGTACGCATTGAGCCTCACACCTTCCACACTCTCACCCCCTCCATCATCTACTCCAAGGTGCCAAAAGCAGAAGAGATGCGGAAAACACCTGCAGGACTACAGAATGTTTAAAACCCTCCTCCTCAACCCCTCTTCCATATATTTAAGACCACGAAATACGATGCAAAAACTAAAGACCAAATTTAAAAATGGAATCAAAGAGTTGCTGATGACTGTGAATCCCTGAAGCTCGAGACCCAGATGGCAAGAAGAAGCACAGGAAGAAAAGAACAGATTGAAAAATCCAGATTTCCAGATCAAAAGTGACTTATTGGACAAGCGAGGAATCCCGAAAGGAGCCTCATCCTGGTAGCATTACAGACAAGCGCTTTACTGTGTGTCGGACAGAGAGAGAGAGAGCAACCAAGTGAAATCACCAGTAGTGTATTCCGCAAAGGGAAGCGTGTGTACGTACGTGTGGACATTCCCATCTTCGGCAGCTAGCCTCCATGTCGACCTACCTAACCCAGTCGTGAGTAGATATGCAGTATTCCGTTGTACAAGTGTATCTTTGGATCTTTTTTGAGTGTTTCTCCGTTTCCCAAGGCACAGATACTATCTAGTAATAATTAAGATAACTAAAAGCTATAAGTGGGGTCTTTAAGAACATTTAAACATCACATGATATTTTGGGAATCCTTTTTTTTTTTGGTTGTTTTTGTATGTGGACTCTTTGTTCAGTGAAATGAATGTAGTCTCCTTTTTCCTTTTAAAGAAAACACTATCTATTGAGTGGATGTTCGTTTTTTTCTGCTCATTCATGCAAATGAAATTTCTTTATCACTGTACATCGACAGATTTTTTTCATATTTTACAAATATCCTATGAGATAAAAAAGTATATTCCCATGCGTATTTGACCATATGCTTCATTGAGCTTGCATGTTACGGATCTAGAGACAATGTACTTGAGCAGATTATCTGAATATGGAACTGAAGAAAATTTAGACTGAATCTACGCTATATGATTCTGACCAGTGCTGCACTTAACCCTCTTAGTTGTTGTTTTTTTTCTCCCCCCTTTTGTATTTTCATTTGCTCTGTTTCCCCCACCCCGTCATCATGGGCTGTGTTTGTTACCTTTGTGTTGAAGTTGGCAACTCTTTGCTTGATTATTTTTTTCTGTTAAGGCTACTAAAGAGTCTATTCAGATTGTATTCTATGTTACACGAGGAAAAACAAGTGATAGGTGTTCGTTCTGCTTCAGTGGGTAAATGCTTTTTTTTATAAATTTATTTAAACACACAACCTTCTAGTTTGTATTTCTTTGAGTAAAAGCCTTCTCTGCTGGGCAAACACAAACTCACAATCTGTGTGAAGAATTATTTCTTTTTGTTAGAACAAGGAAAGATCGCACTTATGTGTTAACATCTGGGATGGAGGGCTTCAGCGTACATTCCTCACTGTTTGGTCAGGCTGTCAGAGGAAGACTGCGTACCACGGGGTGGAAATACTTCCTTTGAACACTATCAGCTTCCTTAAGTGACAAAAACAGCATGAATCACTTGATTCCAGTACTGGAGCTGAGGAGTGTTGAATGTAAGGACTTAAGGGTTCAGTGAGCTTTAAACCAGACAGTTCATCCTAAAGAAGACCCAAGATAGACCTTTTTCCACAGCACACACTTTGGCATTCTAGTAGAAAAAGCACAGTTGTAATCATTAACATCAAAAACATTCCATTTAGGTAGGCTTGTTCAAGGGTCCTGGTGTACATACTAGCCCACTGGCATGGCTTACTGGGTCACTTGATGGAGCAGAGCCATCATAATGAAATTAGTTACACCTTTGCTTTACCCACTATGGCAAGTCCAAATGTCAGATGTGAAAAAGGATGATTCCAATAAGGTAAAATGAGTCCACATTGCACTGTATTAACTGTGTTGACCACGTCATGGCTGATGCTGATCTGCTGAATAAGGTCAGTGTGCAGATACCAATCCAGCTTCATTGTTTCAGTGCATCCCTGATTCATACTTAATTTAAAAAAATAAATAAATAAATAAAATAAAATGGTATTTTCAACCTGGAGCCTCTTTTCCCATGTTTTTGTGTCCAAGTGACAAATGGGAACAACATTTTTTTCCAATTAGTCCAGTATTGACCAATAGGGCTACAGTGTAACCAAAATACTTGTTTTTGCCACTGACAGACTATGATAGTGTTATTATTCCTAGTGTCTGAGGACATTATGGAAAGGATCCCTACAGGGATAGGCGTTTTGTTAGTGTTAAGATCCTTTTTGTTTCAGCCCAAAAACCACAATCACTAAATCACCAGACTTCATTTAAAAAAACAGTAATTTTAGCATGTATAGAGGCAGCATGTTTCACATCTACCTGGGTGAATTAAAGGTTTATTTTAATCAAAGCAGAGTTGCTGCTTGTTGGAACAATTCAAAGAAGAGGCCAAGATGGCTTTTTTGAGTTTTACTGGTCTATGTCGACTTTGAATAAAGTATGTTATACAATCACAAATTTACTGTTTATTTAAATGGAGTCTGGTGACAGTGGTGAGGGCAGTTTCGGGGCTGTTTCTAGTTAAACAAATAGGATCTTACTCTTCAACAAAAAGCTCTATCTCAGTAGGGATCCTTTCAGTAATGTTCTCAGAAATTAGAATAACAATCTGAGTTTGTCAGTGGCAAAAACAAACCCTTTTTAGTGGACGTAAATTGACGTCACCAGCATGCTCAGAGTGATTACATAGCAGCCTTTTCTGCAACTGCACCTCTCTCGCTCAATACTGTGCCAGATTCAAAGACTCTTGTTGCCTTTAGTCTCTCAGACACAAAAGCATGGGAAAATAGGGCCTGAGTGAAAAAATGCCAAAGTTAACCCTATAAGGCCTTAGAAGAGGGAGTCTCCAAAAGCGTCAATGTTATCGTTATTTGTGCAATTCGTTGCATCAAGCATACAAAGTAGAAGGTAAGACCATGGGATACACTTAGAGGAAGCTATGATGACATTCAAGGATACTGAATCCTCGAAGGAGGAGCTATCATGGTTGTTGTGTAGCAGCAGCCTGGCTCAGTGCGACTGTCTGCTCTGACTGTGACACAGCACAGACGTTAATGCTTTATACAAGATTTGATCGGCTGGCTACATTTACACAGACATATCAGAATGGTATTTTGTCAAATTAATGCCCAGGGACGCCATCGTGAAACCAAAACCATATACAATTTCAAATTCCATTTCCTTTTGGTTCCTGATTTTTTTTTTTTTCACAAAAGAAGGCACATCACAAGTGATTACAGAGCAGATATGTTGCTGTAGCAGACAAGAAAGAAGCGTTTTAATTTCAGCTGGACTTTAAGACCCTCTTAAATGTTTATGGGGCCCTTAAGTCAAACATTGAATGACAAATCCAATTATTCTGTTTGAATACAACGAATAGGCTACGCTCATTTTCCACACTACAAAAGGCATGAAACAGCCCATAAAGCTTAACTGTAAAAGCAGATGTTAAATTTTATTCACAAATTCAAATGCAGGTTTTACAATCATTCTGAGTGTGTCACACACAAGTTAGCTTTTCAGTTTGTGCAGCACCCCTCGTGTGGTCAGTGACTGCCAAGCGCTGTGTATGTTCAACAGAGTGACACCTGCAATTGTACAATCTGATGCAGAAAGCAACACAAATGAAACATGTTTTTGCACTGAATCAACAAAAATGCTATCAATCAACATGACGTGAAAAAAAAAGTGATATTAAATTACACATTAACACAGTTTCACTGTGGTGGATCCACACTGAACAGATCTCCTGTTTATGGCCATGGGCTTCAACAAAGCACTTCAGAGTCCCTGATTAGCATTAGCTGGGTTTATCAATGCTGTTAGGGTTTAAAGATACATCGACACAAGTGTCAGGATTTAAATAAAAAGGTACCATACAGCTGTGACCGAGAGCCACGCTGACAAATGAGAAGTATGTGGAGCAACAAATCATCCTTCAGGAGACTTCTGGTTTAATATTAAAAATAAACATTAAGTGCGATCTTGAGCCAAGTTAAAAATATTCATATTTTTACAGTTGATCTGGGCTGTTTAATAGAAGAAATCATTCTCATTGGATTGATTAAGGTTTTTGTGATGTGAGATGGAAACCGTGCATGTGTGTTTGGCTCTTAAGCATTCTCGTTCAGGTACGAAAAACAAACACTTCCACAAACTCTTAAAGAAATAAGTCAGCATTTTGGGAAATACATGTATTTGCTTTCTTGCTGAGTGTTAAGGCCCTGACACACCAAGCCTTGAGCTTCTCTCACCCCAGTTCGTCGCTTCTTTGGCCAGTGGCAGAGCCCAATGGTGAATGAAATCACTCTGGCAGTGCAGCTCAGCGCACGAGAAGAGAAATGGAAATGAGCAAAGTAAACAGAAAGCTAAAGTCAAGAGTGAGTGAGATCAAAAACATGTTACGGTAAGATAAGATTATTTTTCATAAGCCACTGAGCTCTTTAGCAGAAACATTTCATGATGGTATGTGTTACTGTTCAATGGCGCACAGTAAATATGCTCTGTTCTTTAAACACTGGATTGTGTTGTTGATGTGCTAACTGGCTAACTAGGCTATCTTCTGGTTTCCCTTTTTGAATGACGAATATAAACTACTGCAATCTGCTGGTGTGGAGAGTTATTTCCTCTCAAGCAGGTGCAGAATGTGCGTGCTAGCTGACCATCGGCTTACGTCAATGCAGCGGGTTCGAGTGCAAGTTTTTGGCTGGGACAGACAATATGAGGCGACGCAACAGTCAAGCTTTCACTGCTGCTAGTTCTCTGAAGTCTGTTTGGTGTTTTCTGGGCCTCTAGGTGACAACATTGACACACTATTGTCTCTAATTGGATAAGAAGTCAAATAACTGTATTTCCCAGTAAATGTTGAACTATTCCTTCAAGCTTTCTTGGTCAGGTAGAAACAACAAACTCAACTTTCACAAGCTCTTAACATAAAGCAATTTGGGAAAACATATTGCACAATGTATGAAAAAAAAGGAGGGACAAAGGAAATGAAAATACGTGTTAATTTTTTTCTGCTACTATTCTGTACAGTTCCTATGTAGTTAGAAGTTCAGTCTGGCGCGTTGTGTTTATACAGTGACTATAAGAAAATCTAGTAATACTAAGGCGATGCTTCACAATGCAGGATCAGAGTCTGTGACCTCGTTCTGATTCTGCTTTGCAAACACCTAATATGGTACATTGGTATATACACAAACACATATGTATATATGACAACAATTACATGTGCACACATACAGATTCTCTCCAGTCTCTCGAGGCACTCCCTACGGTTAGGTTAGGTGGTGTTAGTTGACAAAAATCTCAGTATTTTCACTCCGTCTTACTATCAGAATCATCTATGTGATTAAAAATAGCCATCCTTTGTAAATTCCTCGGAAGACGTCTTAAAAAGCGGCGTGTTGTCCTTTCAGAAAAATAACTTTCCCTCTTTTTTTCTAGTGTTTGGTTTGGGAGTCAAGTCGGCAACTGTGTCCCTCTGTCCAAAGACAATCCTTAGGAGTCTGAGACAAAAGTCTGCATCCCATTGGTGCGTCCATCTGTCCGTCTTTGCTGTGAGGGTTTCCCCCAAAGCCTGTGCTTCTCTTTCTTTGTCCTCCCTTCATCTGATGCTCTTTGACAGAGTCCATCAAGATAAGGAGGAGTGCAGCGCGGGACCGCTCCTCCTCACACACACAAAAAAAAGTAAAGAAAAAAAAAAAAGGCTGTTTCATAGCAAGTCTCCAGAGGGGTCAAAGGTCATATCTTCTCATCTGTCATCTCCAGGAACTGGGCGTACACATCTCTGGAACACTCCCCTTTCTGGTTGAACAGGAACTTGTAGTAGCTGCCATCAGCACAAATGGCTGCAAAGTGTAGGAACAAGAGTGGAACACAGTCAGCAAACTCAGGCCAGACAGAACAACCTTACAATGCTATTGTGATACTGTAGTGGAAAGATAGGGAACAGTCAAATAAGTTAAGACATGTTTTTGGGTGGCTTTAAGATGACTGTCACTGCAGATGTCATAATCCATGTCTTTTCTGTGCCTACTCTGTAACAAAACCACTGTTGGACCCTCAGCAGTCTACACGTTTGGACATGACTGAGTACTGATACAGCTTCACCTTGCCAAAAACAGAAAACCAAATTCTTCAGTTTCCCTCACCAAAATAGCTTGTTTGCAATCACATGACTATTACAACACCTCAAATTCAGATGGAGGGCAGGAAGTGATAAATCCATATGCTGCTTGAATTGGATCCAGAGGAAAGTGACTACATAAACAGGTTGGATGAACCTGGAGGCAGCAGGTATCTTCATACAACTGAAACTAATGTTGGATGTGATCCAAACAAAATTAGTAATGGACCACTTTGTTCAATGTGGACACGATAGTCATTACAAATTACTTCATCCTCCAGACCTTAAGTTACAAACATTATCCGGTGAGCCAATGAAAGAGTCTAGTGGACTGTAACTATTTTGTGTGTAGTTGGGTCCACAACTCAAACTCTTGTTTTGTGCAGGTCAGTAAATGTGTATAACTGTGTTTTATAATTCAACTCTGTACATGGGATGCACCCATAGATTTTAATAATAACTAGATACTGGACAACAAGATGGAACCTTTTTATTTCAATGGATTTGCTCTCCTGGGCCATACGCCAAAAAAAGTTTTCAAGCTTCTGACTTTACTTTTGCAGTGTGCGTTCCACTGTATATGTGCAGTAGTGTGTCAATTGCTGGTGCCGCCCGCAAGTTCCTACTCGGCTCAACTTAACACTGTGATGATGTCACAGATTTTTTCATCTCTTTTCTCTGCTTGAGGAAAGTTTTACAAATATAAAACCTTCATGGAGTGGGACTGGTTAAGGTTAAGGTAAGCAAAGTCAGAGGCATAGCAAGGCAGAGTAAGGCAGGCCATTCCTTCACCATCCTAGGATTTGCAAAGTCACTTCCTGGGGGCCTGGATGCACTGTTGTCAGGCTAACATAACTAGCTAACGTTACCTAACTTCAGTGGTG